TTATTGGACGACAGAAGTTATTGATACGTATAAAGCTGCTCTTCCTTCAGCCTCCATTGGATCAATACTGAGCACTGCAATGTACAACTATTGGGAAGAAAAGGTTTTTTGTGGTAATCCAATGTTTACGTCTCTATCTTGCGGCGTGTCTAAAAAAAGTAAAAAATGATAATTATTATTGCCTTTTTAATAATTTTTGTTTAGAGTCTCCTGTACTTGGTACTACATCTTCTAATAAATCTGCTTCAATTACGTCTACTCATTCATCTTCACCTAGCAAGCCGGTAGCAGCAGTGATAACTCCAATAGTTAGTGCTTCAGTTGATAGTTCACCTTCAGTAATAACTCAAATAGTTAGTGCTTCAGTTGATAGTTCTCCAACTAAGGAGCAGCTCCTATCAGCTTTATCATTACTAAAGGATGTACCTCAGTCTGACTGGAAAAAGAAATTCGCTCAACCTCTTTTATTTTTTATGAAACGGGAGGATATTAGTTATAGTTATTCGACGAAGTTTGAGTACTTTGTTGATAAATTGTATGATGAGTACTGCATTCCAACTTGGAGCCAAGTAATCCAAGCTTTAGATCAGCCAACAGTAATGATAGTCAAAGGAGTCAAAGTGTCTGACCGAGTACATGAATATCTGAAGAGTCTCTGAGTAGACATTTGATTTATGTAGTGTAGATCTAGTCAGTACTATTTTTATGTTTTGCTAAAATTAATTTTATTATTATTATTATTATTATTATTAAACAATTTTACAGGACATAGAATAAAGGAGCAATGCATGAGGTATAGATACTTAGAGTAAGTAGTCCTGAGGAATGTTGGGAACAAGGTCCCAACACCCAGAAAAAAAGAAAGAAATAAATAAAATATATAATTGAATTTAAGAAAAAGTTGATTTAATTGTACGTTTAGAGCAGGTGTTACACGGACATATGTAGTTTTAAAACACTATATTTACGTTTAAGCCACACTACTACACAGCCAAGAATTTTACTTTGAATCATGACTGATATCAATCAGGATCAGCCTTGATACATTCCTGTATCATGGATTTGGGGCAGCCTGCAAAGCAATGAGTCTAGTATGATACAATCATGATAACCATCCATTATACAACCATGCTGGAGTACAACCCTGGTTCAGCCAGAGCAACAGACATGATTCAACATTGATGTCAGCCAGGGCTGTATCAAAATAGACATCAGGCTTGAATCATTGATTTTCAGTTTGGGTAGTGGCCTGTATCAGAGATGATAATTCTTGGCTGTGTATAGCAAGAGTAGATAATCTACTCTTGCTACTAGGCACACCTCCATCTATTCTTTTCAAGTTTAAGATGGCGACTAGTGTAGGTAAGTTTTCTCCTCCTTTTTCTCTCATGTTTCTTCTTCCTTTCACAATAGAGATATTTGAAGGTATACAGCGTGACTGTGTTGGAATGTTTGGTTTCGGGGCTTGTATATGGGCTGATCCAGACAAAATGATGGATGCACTTGTCATTGAGGATGCTTTTATAGAAACCAAATTCCCAGTAAAGATGAATGGAAAAAACACAACGTACGATTATTTCACTAATGTTCTAAGAAGTGCTTGCAACAAGCCCAAGGACTTTGGCTCAACCTGTCATTTTATGTTGCTCTATTGCTTGGGCAATGGAGGCTGTGACCCTGATGTTTATCTACTCATGGAAAATGGAGACAAATTTTATATTAAAGATATGATTGAAATCCTAAGCAACGAGGAGAGCCAACTAATGGATCCAGAGTATAATTATACATGCTTCCTGTTTTTTGAGATCACCCTTCAAGATGAGTCCCTTGCTATAGGTGATCCTAGGCTCCCAAGGGGGCCTAAAGTGGACAGGTTTGTCATTGCAACGTCTGGTCTACAAAAACCTGGGTATGTTGAGAAAGGTAAAACCTGGAGACATAAACTGGCAGAAGCACTTTTTGATGACTTTAAAAATGGGACCGTGCTAAATAAACTGGCAAAATTAAAGAAAGATTTTCTGCTGATGCAGTACGTCATTAATGCTGGACAGCTTTTTCAACTAGGTAAGAAGAAGTGCACATTCATTTATAAAATGAGGATATGTCAATATGTGCATTCTTTATTCAATGTCATAATTATTATTATATTTTTACAGATTATGATTTGCAGACGAACACTTATTACAATGGTGTCATGATCACGTCAACATCCTCCGATAAATCTCAAGACTTTGAAACTGACGAGAGAAATATAGCAACTACATTTGGAGACCTCCGGTTCAAAATCTTGGATTTGTCTAAAATAGTGACAGAGACTCTGCCAAGGGAGTCCGACACATCTTTTGCTTTCAATCTCCCGTCACTCATAAAAGCTATTACTTGCTATGAATATTCAACTTCGGTTGCTTTCCTCTCATTTTACTATTCTGGATACGGGGGGATGGACGAAGACACTGGACGAATTTATTTTCTCGAGAGCAAGCAGAAATATTACATTGACGACATTGTGAGCCTCTTTATGAAACGGAAGGACTCTGATAAGTTGTGTATCATTCTTCTTGAGCTGTGTCTCCCAGAGGATTCTCCCGATATTCCTATAGGACCTCTCCTCCTTCCAGCCTTTAAAAATATCGTAGTTGCTGTCTCTGGTCTCCACAAAGCAAGTGTGTGCCGCACTCCTGAAAAGGAAGGGAAGTGGACAAAGAAGTTGTGCGAAAAAATAAGTGAAGGGAAAGAGCCTTTGGCTGTCCTGTTGGATGAGGTCGGAGAGGAACTTCCAGAAATAGGAGGACAGTATGTGTACTCATGTCCACTTTTTACTCTGAAAAGTACGATATGATATGCACTATGAATCACTTGTACCTCTTCTAAAATTATGTATATTGGAAGAGAAATTGTTATTTATGCTGTACCCATTTTAGATCCTCCAGATCTTGCTATTGATTGTACTAAGAAACAAAGCACTGTGCCCATTTCTTATACAAGTAAGCTATTATACTTTTAAAAAATTATTATTATTATTATTATTATGTATAATAGAATCAGCCCCAGCTAACATAATGAAGAAGAGACCAAGGCCAAGAGATGCAGCAACTCTCTTAGGCCATGTTGCCTACAAATGGAAGGATATTGGGAAGAATCTCGGAGTCTCTAATGATAATCTACAAAACCTTGAAGTCATGCCTCAACCTGATGTCACTAAGTTGATGTGGATGATTAATAAAGCTGACAACCTGACCTGGGCCTCACTTTATACTGGAGTATACAATGTTGATAAGTCTAAAGCTGATGAAATGAAAGCAAAGGTTATGAAAGATTCTGCCATATTCTCAAATTATCATGATAATTAGTAATTTGCCACTGACGTATTTAATCTAGTATTTTTAATGACTTTAATAAAAAGCTTTTGTTCTTTTTACAGTACAATTACACATTGTGTGTGTGTGTTTGTGTGTGTGTGTGCGCGCATGAGTAGTTGGTATGTGTGTGGGATGTCTATTGCTCATTGGGGCATCACTCCATGAAGTGGCGGCTGCTGGAGTGGTCTAATAGAAAAACTGATGGGAAGAGGTCCCATCCCTGGTCTTATAGTGGGCATCCCTCCCATTGGAGGGGGAGGAGGTCGTGACAACGACAATGAAGAATGCACCATGGAATTAGCTGAAGGAATATTATACTTGGCACGAAGGGACCTTATCTCTTCCTAATAAGATGAATGAAATAAAGAGATGCTTGGTGATAAGCTTATTATAAGTACCATTGATAGGTCTTGCTTAGGATGCATGAGGAGGCTATTCTCTGGTAGTGGAACAACTAGAGCTGCAGTCATTAGTATGCTCTCAGCAGCAGATGCAGCTGCCTCTTTATGAGTAGCCACTGAATTATCTGATGATGTGATAGTAGTGCCGATAGGGGGAGCTGAAGTAGGAGGCTGCATGAATGAAATAGTTAAAAATGAATGTGTCATTATTATCATGATAATCATTAATCATTACCTGTACCACAGCACTAGGGAATAATGGTTGGGTCATTGTTGGAGCGCTGAGTGTATGTATGCATGAAAGAATATCAAGTAAACAAAATCTGAGAAATGACATCCACAAAATACAAACGAAACAATCAGAATTTTCTAATAGACATTTTTTGATGAAATTTGGCCAAAAATACCCTGTGCTATATAGTACAGGGACTTTGGCCTAATTTTTTAGTAACTTTAAAAATTATTTAAAAATCCAATTTTGCTCAGAATCAGCTCAAACTTGCTACACAACATAAGAACATATATATGTATCAGAAAAATTATAAAAGTGGTAAATTCTCTCCATTCAGTTATGATAAAATTTTGCCAAATGCCCTGTGCTATAGTAGTACAGGAACTTTTGGCCCAATTCTCGAGTAACTTTAAAAATTCAAATTTTGATCGGAGTCAGCTCAAACTTGCTACACAAAATGAAGACATGTATATGTATCAGGAAAAAAATATAAAAACAGAGACACTAACCTTGCAGGAGGGACCATTGGGATTCCTCCTATAAACAACAAAATTCATTAACATAATAGGATTGAAGGTCTTACTAGGAGGAGCTGGAATCATTCCTGGCACAATGGGAGGCATGCCAGGTATGAGGACAGGGGGGACACCAGGCAACAGGCCAGGGGGACCAGCTGGAAATAAACCATCACCTACTGGTACAGGACTCACCCCTGCTGCTAGGCCATCAGTCTTGAGTCTCTTGGTATCAGGGCCATCATCACTAGCTGAGCCTATATAATGAATGGAAAGAGAAGAAGTAATCCACCACAGAAATATGTACATGTACGTGTAACTAATGAAAGGTTTGATAAAAGATCAGTTGGTAGAGTAATAATGGTAATGATAGCAAATTATTTCTATGAAGTACAACAAAGTACAGTTACAATAATGATTCTGGCCTTATTTTATCAAGTAGAGAAGAGCAGGATATTGTTCTTCATTATAGCCAAAGATCATGAAGTGACTGCTATATTAACATGACACAAAATTAATAGACCACATCAAACAAAATTAATTAGTAAAGAATGACTTACTGTATTAAATTAAACTGTATACAAAATGGTTTGCATAATTATTATTGGCTATAACAATTCATTGGCGTGCTTACTTTTAGGTGCTGACACACAAAAAATCTTTAACATGAACACATACAATACATTGATATATATATACACATATAACACATTGATATATACACACATACAATTCATTGATATTACAATACATTAATATGATACTTTGGACATACCTTGATACACAATGTATGCCAATTCCCCACTCTATCTATAGCTTACCATATTTCTCTATCTCCCTCATTCTTCTGGCTTCCTCGGGCACTCCCTCCATCCCGTATATTTCAAAGTCCAATATACTCCTATCCAATAAAGCATTAGGTACTTTGGTAATGGTCTCCTTGTGGACTTGAGAGCAATGGATGGCCAGGCCAGGAGCAGTGTATAGCTTCTTGTGGCATATGTGACACTTGAAGTGTTTGGCCTTTTGGTGTCCTATCAGAACCTTCTCGTCATCAAATTCTCTATTGCAATACCTGGAAATGGAGTTAAGTTTGTGTTTTCTAATTAATGCCCATCTGACTGACACGGGGAATTCTTTGGTTTATAAGACATGTACATGTAGGTTATTAGTAAAAGGATACCAGCACCATGGCTTTAGGTTCTTTCTCTTCTTCCTTCCCATGAGAGAAGTACTGTTGACTTGATCCTTGAAATCTCACAGACTCACACAACACGTTGAGATCACGTGAGCAATCAGCACTGAACGAGTGGGCTGGACTATCAATTAATTTGTTAAAGGGTGTGGTTTCAATGATGCAGAAGAAAAAATAAAACTTATGAAGATTTATGGATAAAGAGCTTAGTCTGAGACAAGTAAAAATTCTTTTGGAAATATAGAATTTATTCTAATAATTAATAGGAAACTGTCCTTCAAATTTTAAAGTCAAACTTTTCAGATTCCAAGACAAAAGGTTGACTAGACAAAAGTGGATAAATATCATTTACTTTTTTGCTATAGTTAATAATGATGCATTAAAATTGATGAAAAAGTATGTAGACATCTTGGTTTTAGGTAATACAATAACACTAGATCTATTAATTTTTTTATTAATTTTAATCACAGAAACAGTGTTCAGGACAATTGATCAAGCTAAGGTGAAAATAACTTTTTTGCCTAGCTCTAGTGTTATTATCTTTTTATCTTGATTAATAAAGATTGAGCAATCTGATGCAGTAGAGCTTCAGCATTTTGAGAAAGTCCTTCCAAAACTTGTAAGACATGATCCGATAGTAGACTAATACATGTGTGTCAGTGGTGTTTTTATTGTAATTTTTTTTAATTTTTAGCTCCTTGACTTTTGAAAATAAAAGATCTTTAGCATGAATTCAAGGCTTGACATTTTAGATAAAAATAATTTTACAATTTTGTTCATTGTTTCTTTTTTGTCTTCTTTTTGACTTTTTTGAGAGACTCAATCTCTTCTTTTAAATTAAAGTTGTCGGCATTGCTCAAGGCTAGCATGTCGAGTAGAAGTTCAGTTTTGTACTTTAACAGGTTGTTCTCTTCCAGAAGTCTCTTGTTTTCTTTTTGAAGTTGTTGAGATGCTTCAACTATCCCTGTAGCTGAGCCAGGTGTACTGCCATCTTTAGGAACTAAGAATTTTATAATAAATCAACCATCCCCCACCTCTTACCTAGCACCCATTGTCCTTTAGTAAAGACAAGCTCTTGTCCAGACAATCTCATGGTTAGAGGGCCAGCACTGTCCAGTTTCAAGTCATTGATGGAATATGTGGTCTCATCTAGTGAGGATAAGTTACCAATAGAGAATGACTTCCTCTTGACTGGTTTCTTTCCCGATTTGAATCCCGAGCGAGAAAAGAGAGGCATTTTAAAAAGAGTCCTGTGGAATGTAATGTGTAGTAAAGTTATTGTTATGTTGTTGCTATGGCTACGTTTTAATGAGCCACACCCTCTCATTATCATTAAATATTCATAGATAGTCTATTAACACAATGTCGTTTTTCAGCGTGAGCTTTCTTGCCCTTGCTCTTGCTCTTTGCAGCTACAACCCAGTCCTTTCTTCCGTTATACCAGATGAAGATTGGGCTTATGTTGATGTCCGACCAGGTGCTCACATGTTCTGGTGGCTGTACGGTTGTAGCACAGAAAGCAGCAGGGACACTAAGCCATTAGTCATGTGGCTGCAGGTACTTGAAGCATAAAATTACATTTTCTCTTTAATTCATTTTTCAGGGTGGGCCCGGTGGCTCTTCAACTGGATTTGGAAATTTTATGGAAATAGGACCACTAGATGTTGACTTGCAACAAAGACCAACAAATTGGGTATAATGAAGCCATCATACATTAGTCTAATCAATTTATCATACATTTGCTGTACAGAAGAGAAAGTGCTCCCTACTACTGGCAATGTATGGCTTGACCACATCCTATTGCCAGCAAAGTTACCTGTTGTATGCTGGGCTTTACTATTATAGTAGAGTTATAGCTTGACTTCAGTGTATGGTTGTAGTAAATTTTGCAATTTTTTGGCTGCAAGCTCTTAACACAATACAAATTTAAGCCTGCCTTTGTAATACATGCAATGTATGGTGTGTAGTGTATCTGTTTAAGCCAAGAAAGTTTTTAGGCAATGTTAGTTAACAGTCTAATGATTAGTGTGTAAACTCTGAGGTCCCATATGAATTTAAATTCCTTTCTGTTAGGTTCAATCAGTGAACATCCTTTTTGTTGATAATCCGGTTGGCACTGGTTACAGTTATGTCGATGAGGATAAATTACTGACAACCAATGTTACAGAAATAGCTCAAGATTTACTGACATTGTTTGCTAGTTTCTTAAAGTCACACGAAATATTTCAAGTAAATTAATACACTCTATATGCAGTAGTATTGTTCCCTCTTTATAGTCATTACCATTTTATATATTTTCTGAATCATATGGCGGGAAAATGACGGCTGCTTTTGGTGTGCTCCTTAATTCGGTAAATAATTTTTATGATTAAAGGTCATTAATTAGTTTCGAATGGTTATATTAGGCTATACAGTCAGGGAAAATTCAAGTGAACTTTAAAGGCGTTGCATTGGGTGACAGTTGGATATCTCCCATAGGCAAGTTTGTAATTAAGGACTAGTAATAACAGGCATTGTTCTCCTGGACATTACTACAGGCCAAATCATAACAATGGCAGTATAGACATATGTTTTTCCTACATTTTCCTTTTTGTCTTTAAATAGATTCAGTTCTAACATGGGGGCCTTATCTCTATGCAACAGTAAGTGTTATTGTTTTGAAAAGACTGACTTATTTATGCTCATTTTGTATAGTCGCTTATCAATGAAAATGAATTGGCTCAGATACAAGAGAAAGCAATGAAGTGTAAAGATGCATTATTAGCTGGTCAAGGAAAAAACTCAACAATTCTGTGGGGTGAAACACAAGATCTTGTAGAAGAGGTACATGTACATACAATCCACATTTAATCAGTTACTGTCTTTTTGTAAAGCTGTCGGATAATGTCAATGTGTACAATATACTGGAGCACAATAGCAATACTGATGAAAAAATGAGAGATCAAAGAGGACTGCATTCGATAAGCAAGAGACAGATATCAAAACTGCATGCAGATCAGTTGGGTGAGCTGATGAATGGTCAGATTAAGAAGAAACTAAATATACCGGAGAAAGTCACTTGGGGAGGTATTGGAGCTACTTTTGTTTATATAATACATTTAATTCTCCATTTTATTTTAAAGGCCAATCTGGTAAAGTCTTCACTTATCAAAGTGAAGATTTCATGAAAGATGTTATTGCTGATGGTATGTCACGAGTACTTAAAAACAGCAATGGCTTTAATATCATTTTGTAGTTGATACACTACTGTCTTCTAACATTGATGTTGTTGTGTACAGTGGACAGTTAGATCTGATTGTTGATACACCAGGTATAATAGGACTTAACGAACACTGCGATTATTACATTATTAATTATAAGGCACTCTAGCATGGATTCAGAAACTTAAATGGCCTAATCTCCAGCAATATCTCAAAGCTAAGAGAGTCCCACTTTATCCTCCATCTGGTAAAGCTACCAAAGCGACTGGAGCTTTTTATCAATATTATCAAAATTTCTACTTTTATTGGATAATGAAAGCTGGTCACATGGTCAGTGAGTTTTTGTACTGTGGAGTAATTATGATGATAGTAATCTTAGGTACCAGCTGATGCTGGAGAGATGGCGCTGATGATGATGAATATAATAACAAAGACCACATGATGTCATGAAGGCAACTGCTGCTTTAATTAATTTAAATTACCTTTCTTGACAAAGAACTCAAATGAGACAACACCATTTGTATTTATATGCCATGTTGTTTATCCTATTATACAGTACAAAAACAACATTACAGTTTAGTTGGGGTGAGCAAAAGCAAGCTTCACTAATGCCAGAAATATCTGTACAGACCAACTGGTGGTTAAAATTAAATAAAAAATAAAGTAAAAATAATAAAAATCAAAAATAAAAACTAATAATAAAAATTAAAAATCTAAAAAATAAAAAATAATGCATAAAAATACGAAAGAAGCAAAAATGATAAAAAAATTAAAAAATAATAAATTTTGAAAAAATAATAGAATAAAATAAAATAATTATAAAAAATAATAACAAATTAAAAAATAAAATAAAATAATTAAAATAATAATGATAATAGAAAATTTAAAAAATTTAAAAAATTATTATTATTCTTAAAATGATACAAAATAAAAATTTAAGAATGAAAAAAAAATTTGAAAAAAAATAACATAAAATAAAATAAAATAAATTATAAAATAATAATGATAATAATAAATTAAAATGAGAAAAAATAAAGTAAAAAATTTGAAATAAAAATTAAAAATAATTAAATGCTTATTTTGTTCCTTTAGTTGTGTCTTATTTATTTATTTTCTTCTTTTCCCTTCTGTCCTTTCTTCTCTTCTCTCCCTCTTTCTTCCCCTCCTCTTATTATTATTGTTGTTGTTATTGTTGTTATTAGTGGTATAATAAATAATTACATTAAATAATTAAAAAATAATAAAATTAAAAATGTTAAAAATAAAAAATTATTAAAAATGACGAATAAAAAATAAAAAATAATAATAATAATTTATAAAATTATTTTAAAAATTATTAAAAATAATAAAATAAAATCTAAAATAAAAAAAATTATAAAACAATAATAATAAATTTTTAAAAATTAAAAAATTAAAAATTAAAAATTAAAAATAAAATTAAAATCACTATAAAAATTAAAAAATTAAAAAATAATAATAGTTAATACAGAGCATAAGGAAATGTATACATACCAGGAAAAAAAATTTTTATAATGGAAAATTTTCTCCTTTTCATTTTTGATGAAATTGGGCCAAAAACCTAAGGCTATAGCCTTTGATCATTCTGATTTTTAAACAAATTAAAAAAGTCGTAAAAATTTTAATTTGATTGGAATTAGCTCATAGTTGATACAGAGCATAAGGACATGTATATGTATCATAAAAAATTATTAAAATGAAAAATTCTCACCTAGCTATTTTTGATAAAATTTGAAGGCTATAATTCCTGTCAATGCATAGACATCCTTCATCAATCCAGACAAAAGATTAGTACCTCTATCAGATAACAGTTGGTCTGGTACTCTGTGTCGACAGATTATCTCATTAACAAGTAAGGTAGCAATCGTCTCACTGATTTGGTCTGCAGCTGGAAATGCTTCAACCCACTTAGTCAAATAGCCTTTGGTTGTTGGCCCAATTTTGAACAAATCATAAAAAATCCAAATTTGATCAAAATCGACTCAAAGTTGGTACAAAGTAGAAGAAGATGTATGTATATATATATATATATATATATATGTGCATCAGGAAAATTTTTCTTCTGAATATTGTTAAAAATTCATAAAAAATCTAAATTTGCTTGGAATCAACTCAAAGTTCATAAAATATTATAAAAACCGACATTCTACTGACAAAAAGCTGCATGAGCATTGAACAGTGCTTAATTTGATCTGCCATTTGTATGAAATGGTTGGCCGCAGGGTTTGGCATAGTGCTCAGACACATTGTATAAAAGGCACTGCAATAGTAATAACTAAAGGACCAAACAATAATAGTACACATGATACACATGGTAAGAGAAATGAATAATGTATAACACTTTTGACACAGTTCAAGTCATTTTTATTTAGTCTTCGTAAGGATGAAGTTCAAATAAGAGGCAGTCGTTATCAAAGAGGTATCTTTCGACTTGAGCATAACTAATGAACTGCTCAAAACCAAAGCCATGCTCAGTAGTGCCATGGGCATCAGGCCTTGATGAAGCAGCAGCCGAAGAATTCGCATCAAATTTCAACCACTTCCCATGACAGTTCTTCTTGTACTTGTCAAAAAGACGAACTTCAACTGCCTCTCCGGAATAAGGCCATTCGAGCTCTTGATCAAATCTTCCAGGAACAATGTGCAAGGAGATAGAGACATGAGTCCCATATCCTGAACCAATACCATTTGGATAGACATATAACTCCATGGCATAGCCAGACGGGGGAGATGTGAAATATATGACACCGCTAGAAAACGTACCGTTTTTATATTTCAACGCTCTAAAATTTTGAAGTACAACGTCTTGAGGGATGAGCTCTAAATCGCTAAAATCAGCTTCAGCTTCAAACTCTTCTATTTCGTTCTTGAGCTGTTTTATTGTTTTTAATTGAGATGACAGGGTAGACCGTTGGTTACTCACTTTAGAATTGAGCTCAGCAACTTTTGCGTTAAGCCTCACAATTTCAGATTTTTGAAGAGCCACAGTATTCTTAAGAGTCTTCAACTCTTTGTCTTTGGCAGTCTCAAGACTAGAAGATGCCAAGCTATGATCCTTCAGAACATGATTAGAAAGATCCCTAGGACACCCAGACCAGGTACAACCTCCACCCATCCCACATTTGGCAACATTAGAAGGACATATAGACACATGGATGCTAAGGTATTTCCTCTTCCGAGTGACCGAGCAGCCAGGGAACGGGCAAGTCATTTCCAACTCAGGGCACATCAATTTGTGCTGGGTAAAGTCCTGTGCAGTACCAGTATAAGTTGAGCATATGTGACACTTCACGATTCGCTTCAGACATTCGTTTCTTTTGTGGTCTTCCATTAAAGCACGTAAGACAAGCTCACCACATCCAAGCAAGCAGAGCTCTTTAGAGAACTGACAGTCACCAGTTTTAGACAGGTGACTACTGAGATTTTTAAGTTCTCCTTCCCAAGCACAGCCCTCAGACCTTTTGAGGCAGTAAACCTTTAAAGAATGAAGGTATCTCTTGTGGCCCTTGTCTGGTATGCTCTGGAACTTTTCCTTGCACAATGGACAGACTTTCTTCTTTAGTTTCTTCAGACAACCACCACAGAAATGATGCCCACAGCAGCTCACCAGCTGTGGGTCCTCTATCAGAAGCTCGAAACAAATAGGACACTTCAGTTCAATCTGAGGAGATAAAGGACTATCATTAGACTCAATTACAAATTCAATGCCAGCTCCTGCTGCTTCAGCCATCATTAGGTCCAGCTGTAGGATAATAAAGGATATCAAATTTCCCCTAAAATTTCCCCTACTCCCTAGTCCGGATACCTACCTGTATATTGACAAATTTGTACTTACCGTCTTACGGATCTCGTGTCCGGAAGTGTGCAAAAACCACGTGGTAAAAATAAGATGGCGCGTTTAGTTGATTTTAGCTTAGTTTTAGCCAATAATTCTTCAAAAAGTAATGACACATAAATATAGATCTATAAATGTGCAGCATAAAATTTTATTAATTTTTTTGTATTTTTTTAATTTCAGATTTTTAAAGGCCCAAATATTTTTCAAATTGCTATTTTTCCTCTGAAAATTGTGAAGATTGGCTACCACAAGTATGATATTATGTGTATTATTAATAAGTTATTGATACTTTCATTTTAAAAGACCGCGACTTCCTAAAACTCAATGAGAAGTTTTTATTACTATTACTCTTATGCTGCATTATTTCAATTAAAATTAGAGTTTTACAAATTTTAAAAGTTGGAAACCATGTACATTGTGGATAGGAATCTCTTTTTTTATGTTGCGTATAAACTTTGAGCCAATTTTAATTAAATTTGGATTTTTTTTACAAATTTTAAAGTTGCTCCAAAATTGAGCCAAAGTCTCTGTATTATAGTACAGAGATTTTGGCCAATTTTCACCAAAAATTACTAGAAAAGAATTCTCCAATTTTATAAACTTTTTGATGCATTCATGCTTTGTAGAAAGTTTGAACCGATCAAATTAATTTTTTAATAAGTTTTTAAAGCTACATAAAAATTTGGTTAAAGTCCCTGTACAGGGTCGTTGTCCAAATTTTACCAACAATGAAAAGTGGAAAATTTTCCATTATTATAATATTTTCTGATGCATATACATGTTTTCATGTTGCGTAGAAAGTTTGAGCTAATGGTTTTTTGTCACAGTTTTCATGATGGTGAAAGAAATGTTTGGTACGGATTTTGTGACAGTGGAAGAAATTGGTTTTGTTTGTCACAGATTTCGTGACAATGGAAGAAATGATTTTTTTGCTTGGCACGGATTTATTAATTTTTTTTAATTTGAATTTTTTGATTTTTTAATTTTTACAATTTGTATATTTTATTTCATTTTTTTATTATTTTAAATTAAAAAAAAATTTTGATTAAAAGCTGGCCAAAGTCCCTTGTACTTTACTATTTGGCCAAATTTTGGCAAAAATGACTATAGAGAGAATTTTTCATTTTAATAATTTTATATGTTCTTGTGTTTCATGCATATAGAAACTTTGACCTGATACTAATCAATAGTAAAAATAAGCCACAGTCCCTACAGCAGCTGTCACTGTGTTTGCACAAGCCCCCGGCCGTTACATAACTCTTTTCTCACATCACCCCCTAATCACAGTCACATGCCTCTGACATACCACACTATCAAATACAAGCATATCGTCCTCCTACATTGTACTCGTACATTCTACAACATTAACTTTTCATTCCTCAAGGCAGTGTGTATTTAATCATAATACATATAATCATAATACATATAATCATACTATGGTCTCAGTACTAAAATATTTTTAATGCATTTTTATAAATATGGGTTTATTGTGATGCTCTGACTTGTAACCTCCTCCTCTTCTATCCTGAGAATGGTTAACGAAGCATTTAATACATTGCCTAGTGTATCTAATAGCCCATGATGTAAACGGAGTAACAGACCTGCTCCTAAACCAGTTGATATCTCTCACTATTATTACATCAATAACCATCTTATTCTTAACTCGAACTTTATCCACTTACTATTTAATGATATATTTAACTAGGGAATAAGTTATAGACGTTTCCTAGTAGAATTAGAGGAACGATGAATGATGTCGCATAGTAGCAGACTAGTCTCTTTAGTATTTTGCATCAATGTTATTACAATGATGTAACGGACATTTTAGCCAATTAATTTAATATTGATTTTGCGTCATTTGTTATGATATGAAGATGATGCCAAAGCCTCCCTCTTCTCCCTCACCCACACACACACACACACACACACACACAGAGTGTTAGAGATAAGGGCTTGGCGACAGTTTGACTCCAGTACTTGATTATGTATTGAGATCCTTTTATCCCTGTATGCCTCGTTGGTCATTTACTCCACACACTCTTATGACTAAAGCAAGTATAAAGGAGCTATTATTTATTGGTTTTATGGTGGCTGGTTTTACTGAGCTGTGATTTCTTAGTATAATGTGGCGATACGTTACATGTACATGTATTGTCTTTCATTCTGAGGTTGTGTTTGATTATTATTGTTCACTGAGTTCATGTAATCGTTGGTTTACTATTAAATTATTTTGTATAATAATAATAGCAGCTGTTAGAAACCACCATCCACCACCTGTAGTGTACCGTATTTTAGCCTACTAGTTGTTATTGGTTGATTGGTTACGCATGGGGACTGATAGACTGACCTTTAAAATGCGGCACATAACCCCAATATGGTACTACAATTTTATAATTATAATTCGTTGATATTATTTTTAAAGTTGCAATATAGAGAACTGCATGTACATCTACACATAGTTTTTGATCCACGTATCTTTACTACGGACTTTGTTATTACGTGTGTGTGTGTATGTGAATATTTGGCGAACCTTATCTAAACTCTATGGCACCATATTAATTTCCTATATTCATAATGACTGCCCTACCTCTTTACTTAGACACTTAGTCTCTCGTTATAGGAAGTTCATAATAATTGCTCATTGACCCGAAGCCTCTAATTACTCTATGATACCCAATTAAGTGCATTGTGTTTATGCTTCATTACGTATACTGTAGAGTGCAGTGCTGTAGTTGCTATGCCTTTAGCTGTTTCCTTGACATAAAGTGCCGCCAAACATGTATGAATAGGAAGTGATTCATTATTAGGTGCAGTACGAGTTTAATCAGTGCAATAATAAGTTTAATCATCTTTTATTTATTATTACACACCTACTATTCAACCTGTGTGTGTGTGTGTGTGTGTGTGTGATGCATTTATTTGAATTTAAAATAATAAAATGTTCATGAGTACAACTCTATCTTCTTAAAATTCGATAGCCACTTTATATTCTGCTTCAAAGCTATACAAAATCCACTCTTCAATTATTATGCGAAATTTCTGAGTACATTATAATCTGATCCCTTCTAACCTTTGGCCCTTATCCAAGCCACTTCATTAAAAATCAAATATTGCAATATTCACTACCTGCATTGTTTTTCCATGGGAATAATTTTTACGCTTATATTCATGTGTGGGGTTTACTCCCTTCTCCAAATACGTATATACTATATATCCATTGTACATGTACACACGCTCCATTTTCTATTATTTGATTTACATATACTCTTTCTCACACGCGCACGCACACACACACACTCACATTATGTGGTTTACTCTCTATTTACTATTAGAATTGTTGTGGTAGGTGACTTGTGTTGCACTCCTCTCTCTCCTCAAAGTAATAAAGTATTTATGATATTTGGTTGCCCAATCTACCATGGAGTACAAGGATTGGATGCAATTATTTCTGTTATATTTATTGATTATATTTTGCGTCAGCTACCAGGTGGTCCTACTCCACCTAATGTAGAAATGTACTTTTTTACCATAATATAATAATAATGTTAATAATAATACTTTGTGTTAAGAATCTAGTACTTCAGTACATGTACCAGATGTATAAACACATATTTTTGTTTGTGACGATGTGCTGGTGTGTGTGTATAACTATCAACAAAGTGTTGTGTGAACCAACATGATATAGTTACTTACTAACGACACTATAGTACAATAATTATTATTTCTATTATTACTCTTGTTATTGTACTCCATGACTGAGGGAAAGAGAGAGGGGGAGAGGTAGAGGAAGAGAATTTTGCTAGCAATCATACCATATTTGGTCAGACTCGCTGTGTTTATTCCCATTGCTCTTTGCTATAATGCAGGAACTCCATCTCTCCTGAGCAATGAACATGGCCCTGGTGTGTTAGAGAGGGTAAATCTACTCAATAGTATTATTTACTAGTCCATGTATTTACTAGTGGTGTATATAATTGAGCTAATTTGTGGTTGTTATGATTGTTATTATCTTGTGTGGATCAAGTGCTGGTACATATGTACTTCTTCTTTCCATTAGTAGAGACTGTGTGTAGATTGCTCTGTTTACATTGAGTGAATTTTAAAGAGAGAGAGAGAGAGAGGGAGGGAGAGTAAAAGGAAGGGAAAGGTCAGTGAGGGCTGCTTTCAATTTGATAGAGATAAAGGAAGATAAAGAGTTCTGTATATCTCTATAGAGTTTGGTTCAGATTTTCATAGCCTTAGGCTTTATTTGATATAGAATCCTAATGGTGTACCTGGTCTATAATGTCACTGATCTAATAATGGTTGATTAAACTTAATCATATTCTATTACCGGTCAGCACGAAAGAATGGTATTCGTCATGCCTGACCCTTTCTTGTATTACTGTACTGTTATATATTGGGTGCCGTTATACAGGACATCACTGTCATTCATCATTCATGACTTCATTCATTTCCTTCATTGTTGTATATTGCATTAGCTTACCTCTCGGCTATACGCTACCTTCAATCAGTGCTGTATTACACACTTGAACTCTGTGTCATATTAATAATGGCCTTTGGGAAATTTTTCAAATTTTATCATCTTTTGTCCCCCTCTTTCACTCTCTGCCATCTGTCATCAATACTATAGGCAGACTATGTTTTGAATTCTTTGAAGATGATGCTGTTTTGGTGTACTCTCTCTCTCTCTCTTTTGTGTATACCCAATAGTTGTTGGGGAGAGATCAATTAGTTACCGGCTGTCTTGAAGCTTGTGTGGTAGAAAATTTTTGCATCTGAAAATTGTGTGTGATTTAATTTTTATGTATTAAGACTATGTCATGTATTATTAAATTTGACATGTAATGCGTAATCTGATTTTCTAATCTAGCATTAAAGTTACTGTAAAAATTTTAAGGTAAATGGTATGCTGTTTACTTTGCTTAAATGTATGAAAATGAATAAATCTTGTTTATTGTTGCATTTTTATGTCATAAACCATTCGCTTATTACTAGACTAATTGGTGGTAAACAAATCTATAATGCATGGTAAACAAATTTATAACCGGTAAACAGCTTTATAACGCAATCAAATAGTAAAAGGATTTTTAAAATTTAGACTCAAATTTGTGTTAAACTCTCATAACACGATCAAATTGGTGCTAAATGCCACCTACTTTATTACTAGTAAAATGATTTTTATATCAAAGTGGTGTTTAAAAAATTTATAATTGCTGCTAATACTTTTTGAGTTGTTAACATTTTAATGGTTGCTAAAAAGTACTAATGAATACTTGAAAAGATTGAAGTCTTGATACTACAGGTATTGATTTGAAACTTTGAATATAAATTAGTGTACTTTTCATTGGATGCAATTTCTTTAACTTACTTAGTATATCTCGTATGACATTGATTATACTTATACAGTTTTTAAAATTAAAATTTTCTCAAAAACCACAAGTGAGCTAATAGCTAATATATTGTACATGTACAAATAAAGCAATCAGCAAAAAGGACCTAAAGAATTTAATATCAGGTACTGCATGGCATATATAGTACTGATTATAATATAAGTCCAGTTATTAAGCGAGTGTGCATGTGCATGATCAAAATTTGTACACTGACATGATATTATTTGTACTCCTCCTCCTCCTCGCCGTCTCTTGAACTCATAAATTACATTCACATTAATATGTTTACTATGCTATCTCCCTCTCTCTCTCTCTTTTATCCTGTTTACATTCGTCACGCCAGCTCTTTATTTCTCTCTTTATACTTAAACATGCACACACACACACACATCTCTCTCTGTGTGTCTGCTACTATTATTGGCTATGCATGCACTGATATCGGCCCTTCCTATCTCTGTCTGTGTTTTGTGACATTCTCTTTGTGTCTCATTTCAACTGATGCTAATCCACTCGTGCTAATAGCAGATACAGGACTGTTAATTTTATTTAGTCTTGGGTTGTATTGTCTGATTTTAGATGTAATGAGTCAGTAATTGTGTGTAACGTACAATAACATGTATGGAGATGGATTTGTGAATGCAGTGTATCTTCTTTGTCTTTTGTATGTACATCACGTATACCTATTAATTAAAGTAGTATTATAAATCATCAGGGGTAATGCATGTATGCCTACACCCTTTCAAAAATTGTTTGTACAGCCTTTTGCAGAAAACTTGCCACCACCAGTTCTAGTCACGCCATAGGCTTAACTTAATATTTTTATGAAGTTACATGATCAGACTGATGCAAGTTTTGTGCAAAGGGCTATACTGAAATTAATCTGTGCTGCAAATCATAAGAATCTCAGCTGTGACGTTTTAAAGGAGGCAGTTTGAATAGTTTATACTAGTGGGCGTCACTTTTTACATTTTTGTGGTTTTCACACAATAGTGAATGAATCTCATTATAGACATATGTGTATGGGTCATACCTCTGTATAGTTTTTTTATTTATTAATTATACTTACCTAATACACAATCACTGTTGATATACTTTTGAATCTCTCTCTCTCTTTCCCTCTCTCTTTCTCTCTCTCTCTCTCTCTCTCTCTTTCTCCTACAGCTATACAGGAAAATTACAGTATTGTATATAGTATCAGCCCATGCATTCATTTTCTCAAAATACATACATGAGAAGATACCAGCTGTACAACAACAACAGTCATATAATGATCATCTGGCCCCAGTATATAACAATGGTAAGTGCATGTGTCATGAGTAGTGGTTGTATTAATTTATTATGATCTAGTGTGGGAGAAACAGCTGCTTGCTTCATGTTTTAAATGACTATTAGGTATTCCCAACTCTCTTCTACTGTATCTCTCAATTAGCTAATGTGCCTGTGTGTAATGGATAGGCTATGATTAAGTATTATGACTGTCCCTAATCTAAGTAGCATTGTGTGTGTGTGTCTGCTGCTTGAATTATATGTTACAATATAGTGAAACTGAAGTTATCATGTCTTTACTGGACGGATAGCTGTCTCTATCATGTCTCTATAATGTCTGATGAGTTTGCTGCTTGTATCATGCGTCCTGCACTATGTGTGTGTCTGTATTTTATCTGATACTGATAGTCACTTCTTTAATAATAGACACCATTAATCTGTAATTTGATTTGATTACAATATCAATATACTGTATTATCTGTATAGAGGGTTTCATTTTTTGTGGGGAAATCCAACTTCGTAGACCACATCCATATGCTTCATGTTTTTTCGTAATTTTGGGGATTTAATTCTTGTTGGAAAAACAAAAAGAATGAAAAAGTTTTTTACAAAATAATGTCAGCATTGAATTATCAATAACAACTGAACATTGTGTGTATATTATATAATATGTACCATATTATTTTAGCATAAAATTTTTAGCATGTAAAATGTGTGACACCAGCTGCATGACCATTTCCCTCCTGTGTTAGTTTCTATAGTCTTCCTTTGATCCTCTCCCACTTCTTCCTTTATGGGTACTCCTGCACCATACATGTACATGCATGTGATGATATTAATTCTGTTAATATTATTTTAATCAGACAGACATGTTGTCTGTGGCCATGACCATGAACATGATCATATATGTGAGATGTATGAGTCCTGTTTTACCTAATACCAGTGATACCACTCATGCATGAACTTTAGCTGGGGATATGTTACTACACTTAGGTATGCTAGGCTAGCTGTACATTTGTACTACATTTTCTCTCTCTCTCTCTCCCTCTCTCAATTTTATTTCTCTTTCTCTTTTACTTTTCTCTGTTGTTGGGCAGGTATTTCCAAGCCCCATGCCTATCCCATAAGCTAATAAATCATTGTTAAGTGCATATTTGTACACAAAGGGCGATTTCATATCCTTTAGTTGATAATCCAATTAGATCCTCTTGAGAGAACTGTACACAGTCTCTTACTGTGTTTGTGTGTATACATGGTTACTTTATTAGGATATGCTGTATACTAACATCATGAGAGAACTATGCAATGTGATTGTCACCCTCTATGAGAAAACATTCTTAAAGCGACTGGTTGGAATGAAAAGCATACACATGTACCATTTTTTGTGTGTTCAATGATAGCCTTATTTTGCCTCAAAACTACTTCAAGTTTTACATATATCCTCTTTAGTCTTGCATTTAACTGCACAACAAATCAGAGACATTTCTGTGTATAGAATTAGCTAATTTATTGTTATAATCTGTAGCAATTAATTTTGTCCTTATATTATAATGTAGCTATATAATAATAACAACAATGTTTTTATTGTTATCTTTTTAATCTCAAAGAGTTTGTGACCAGCATTGGCAAGCTAGCCCAGTTAGAGTTAATATCTACTGCTAATATAATATAATAATACTTCAATGATAATTAAATATAGGCAAACAAATTTACTTTGTAAATGTAACAAAGCATCTATGGCATTCAGATACACGTCACAATGATTATATTTAATTTGTACACTTTATATCTCTCAACCTCTCCTCCCTCTCACCCTCTCTGTGTCCGTCCTCTGTGTTTGATAACAGAAACCAGTTTAATAAAACACACCAAGACTTTGTTGTTGGTAGTGCTCATTCATTACTGAATACTTGCTAATCATTATTGTGCCTATACCAGTGTGTGTTTCCCACTAATGAGACATCAGTGTAATATGCCAGCCATTGCTGGACACTATAATCACATTGTAATTGAGTCAACTATGTAACTGCAGCTTTGAAATTTACTCTGTATAGTACATGTATGTATGCATGTACATATATGTATGTATGACGCTGTGTTTCGCATGTTTTGTCTACAAATGTCTGTAGTCATTGATGCACTTTAATATACTCTATATATGTGTTCAGTATCAAAATATTTGTATCAGCATTTAAAGAAAGTGTCACAATTTTGGCCATTTTCCAAAAAGAGCATGGACTATAATAGTCCATGGTTTTTTCTAAAAGATGACTCGAAAATTACCCCAAGTTTTATTGCACTTTTTTCTGATACTTATTGGTGTCCTTATGAAAGTTTGAGCTGATTCTGATTAAAATTTCTAAAGTTATGAACCATTTAAAAATCAATATCTGAAAAAACATCTACATGCATAAGTGCTAAGCACATGTATCTATTTGCAATGTAGTATATGTACATCATATAATAATTCATGAGCTCCCTATCCAGATCAGAGGTGGTGGACTTTCCCTCTATACTGTATTGCTTTGGATGGTTACATTATATGCTATTGAATCTTTAATTATCCCTTGAGTCCATTACAGTCTTTCTTTATTCATTCTATTCTCAATGACTGATACACATGCACACCACTGTAACCCTCTCCCTGTTTCCTCTTGTGGATCATTTTCACTTTTGAATTGTCACCTTTGCTCCCTCCTCCTTCCTCCACACACTCTCTCTCCTCCTCTCTTGCCTTCTTTTCTTTCACTTTTTCTTTCTCTTTCTCTCTCCCTCCCTCCTCTCTCTCTCTCTCTCCCCTCTCTCTCTCTCTCTCCCCTCTCTCTCTCTCCCTCTCTCTCTCTCTCTTTCTCTCTCTCTTTCTCTCTCCCTCCCTCCTCTCTCTCTCTCTCTCTCCCCTTTCTCTCTCCCTCTCTGTCTCTGTCTCTCTGTCTCTGTCTCTGTCTCTCCCCTCTCTCTCTTTCCTTCTTATCATTCCACTCTCTCTCTCCCACTGTCTACTGACCTGTTACTGTACAAGGTTAGACCCTATTCATCATATGTTACATTCCATAGTTCATTACGTTTAGTTGGTCAATATAGCATGTATCATCCCCAATGCATAACCCATTAGACTTTGTTATGTTAGTATTACATAACTGAGCTTTCACAGAAATGATGAAATTAATGATAAATGATAATAATAATAAAATAACAATAATAATGATAATAATAATACAATATTAATAATAACAATTGCAATTATTATTGGGGCTCTCCCTTTTTGATAATAGCTTGTATTTTATTTCAAGGTATTTGTAATAATAAACTATGACGATATTACAATAATGATAAATTACCTTTTAGTCGAAATACATTTCTTAATTCAATTCTACAGTTGTTATTATAGTCTATAGATACTTCCTTTGGGATTGTGTATATAGTGATTGAATGCTCTCTCTGTTCTCTCTCATACTAACAAGAATTGATTGTGTCTTTCCTCTAGTTTTCCTGTTGTCCAGTTTACACTACATACATGCTACCAATGTTACTAATATGTTACCAGGTTTTACTCCATGTTACCAGCTAGTGTATGCTACATGTTACCAGGCAGTGTATACTCCATGTTACTAGGCAGTGTATACTCAGGGCTTCCCATAGAATTTTGGCATAATGCTCATGCAGCTTCTTTTTTAATTGATTGTCAAGTTGCTCAAAAATAGGGTCAAAGACCCAATACTATAGTACAGGGAATTTTGACAGAAATTACAAGGAAAAAATTCTCCATTTTTATAATTTTATCTGATGCATATGCATGTCCATATGCTATGTATCAACTTTGAAATTATTCCAATCAAATCTGGTTTTTTATGAATTTTCAAAGTCATTCAAAAATTGAGCCAAGCACACTGTACTATAATACTGCGACTTTGGCTAAAGTTTTTCAAAAATGAAAAGAAGAAAATCCTCCATTTTAATAATTTTTTCTAATGCACATACATGTACTTATGCTGTGTTTCAACTTTGAACTGATTTTGATCAAATTTGGATTTTTTATGAATTTTTAAAGTTGCTTTAAATTCTATGTACATGTACATGTACTTGTCAGCTCACTGTTTAGCTCACTTAGCCTGCTTTGGGACCATGTGTGTAGTTTATAGTATGCCAGTGTCTGTTACTAATGTGTTTCTAATGTACATTGAATTGTGTTCATTTGCTTTATTAGAGACCAAAGTTAAAGAGAGGAAGTTTATGGGTTCTATTGATAATGTTGTAATGGCTATATTTTATCTTTTGACGCCTCTTCTCCTGTCTCTTTGGCAGCTGAAGATCACTTGATATAATAGATCTACTTAGTATGCATTTATGTACATGCATGTGCATGTATACATGTATGTACATGCATGTATACGCATGTATGCAGGTATGTATTTATGTGTGTATTAATTACGGCACTTTTTGTGTGTTCAGAGTTCCTTCCTGGTATATTTGTTTAGTCCAGTTAGTAATCATACCTTCAGTTAGTACAAACACACACAGTTTGCTTGGTATATACATGTAACGCTTTTCTGTTCCTGATAAAATTTTATCATTGCTTGAAACATGGTTCCATTTTGTTTGTTTATGATAATTAATGAGATAAAGTTTGTTATTTTGTTATGAGATATTCCCTTGTTATTACTATCTTGTTATTGCTGGTCCTTTTATGAAGTGTCATTTGTTCCGTAATGTGTTTGTTAATGCTACGAAGTTGTGATCACAATTATGCTCGTTCCATCATGCTTTCATTTAACAGCTTAAGGGGATTTTATGCATGAATGTGTGATGGTGATTAAAGTACTCCTATATATATTCTAATGCATGTACATTTACATAACTCATTTTTAAGTTAAACAAACTGATACTGAAATTGTTTTCATTAAGTTAGTCTGATAGAGTATGGGAATTACACATTTATTAAAATTAATTATAATTTTTAATAAAGGCGACTACTTGCTTGCTTGATTTTAAAGAAATGTTAATTGTCAATTATCTAGTTGTAATGATTGTGTTATTGTTATGAAGTATCATTTGTGTTGTTGTTTTAACTTAATTAACATTCCAAACTACTTTGACACAATAATTCCTATAATGATGATAAAA